CTGAGCCTGGGGTTTCTCTGTCTGAGGGTGCGGAGCCTGGGGGTGCTGAGCCTGAGTGTGTGGAGCCTAGCGGTGCTGAGCCTGGGGGTGCTGAGTCTGGGAGTGCTGAGCCTAGGGGTGCTGAGCCTGAGCGTGCTGCGTCTGGAGGTCCTCCGGGTGTCCCGTCGCGGCGAGAGCCCCTCTCTCCGCAGCAGCTTCGTGAGTGGTACGCTCGGCGCTGTCGAGGTGCTGCTGGTGCTGCTGGTGCTGGAGGTGCTGCTGGAGCTGCTGGAGGTGCTGCTGGTGCTGGAGCTGCTAGAGGTGCTTCTGGAGCTGCTGGAGGTGCTGCTAGTGCTGGAGTTACTGGAGGTGCTACTGGAGGTACTGGTGCTGTTGGGGCTGGTGGTTCTGCAGATGTTGGAGCTGCAGGTGCTAGAGCTGTTGCTACTGGAGGTGCTTCTGGAGCTGGAGCTGCTGGAGGTACTGGAGCTGGTGGTGCTGCGGGAGTTGTAGCTGGCGACCCTGGAGCTGAGGGTACTGGTGCTGTCTCTACTGTTTCTGGAGGCTCTGCGTGGCCGCGGCCGTACTACGTTCCGCTCCTTCAGCAGGTTCTTGGTCTCCCGCCTTCTCCTGGTCCTACTCCTCCTTTACTGAGTCCACCGCCTGTCCAGTCACAGTCACTGTTATAGCCGACCTCTCCACTGCCTGGTCCTTCTCCTTACTCTGGACCGACTAGAGGTCTTACGCAGCGTCGTGAGCCTGAGTCGCGTCCTGTGTTGCCTGAGTCTCGTCCTGCGTTGCCTGAGTCTCGCTCTGCGTTGCCTGTCCGCACTGTTCGCACTGGTCGTCCTGTTTCGCGTCCGCGTTCTCCTCCTGTCCTTGGCACTCACTCTATGACACTGCATCCTTCCACTGCTCCACAGCGTGTCCCTCTGCCGTCTCCTCCTGCGTTCTCTCTTCCTGACGGTCCTGACCCGGAGTCTGACTCCCTTCGTGCTGTTCGTCCTGCTGTCACGCGCTTTCTGACCACTGTTGTCACGACCCTTTGTTTGAGTCCACTGCTGCGTCTGCTCTCGTTGCTGAGCTTGTTGACTTTGCTGCAGCCTGTCACCTAGACTACGCCACTAGTCTTGTTGGTGAGTCTGCGTGTGCGTCTGTCTGCCCTCCGTCCGTCGGGGGTGAGTGTGCTCTTGGCACGGACGTTCTTGAGGACAGGCAGGAGGAGTTTGAGTGCTTTGCCGCTGCTGTACCTCATCTCGTGTCCATGCTGCTTGCCCTTGAGGGAGACCCGGATGCACCAGACATCCCGACCCCGCGCTCTTACGCTGAGGCGATAGAGGGTCCCTACTCCTCTCAGTGGCAGGCAGCCATGGACGCCGAGATGGCTTCCTGGAAGTCCACAGGCACCTACGTCGACGAGGTTCCCCGCCCGGGGCGAACATCGTCAGTGGCATGTGGACCTTCAGGGTGAAGCGGCCGCCGGGTTCTCAGCCTGTCTTCAAGGCGCGTTACGTTGCACGTGGCTTCAGTCAGCGACAGGGAGTTGACTTCTTCCAGACCTTCTCCCCTACCCCGAAGATGACCACTCTTCGGGTGCTGCTGCACGTCGCCGCTCAGCGTGACTACGAGCTACAGTCGCTTGACTTCAGCACAGCCTTCCTACGGGGCAGCCTGCACGAGGAGATCTGGCTGCGCCGCCCACCTGGCTTCACTGGGTCGTTTCCTACTGTTACCCAGCGGAGCCTCAGGCGGCCAGTCTACGGTCTCCGCCAGGCACCCCGTGAGTGGCACGACACACTGAGGATGACTCTTGCTGCTCTTGGTTTTGCTCCTTCCACTGCTGACCCGTCGCTGTTTCTTCGCACTGACACCACTCTGCCGCCGTTCTACGTTCTCGTGTACGTAGACGACTTGGTCTTTGCTACTGCTGACACTGAGGCACTCGCCCACGTGAAGTCCGAGCTGCAGAAGAGACACACGTGCACAGACTTGGGTGAGCTGACAAGCTATCTTGGCTTGCGGATCACCCGGGACAGAGCACAGCGCACCATTACCTTGACTCAGTCACACATGGTGCAGCAGGTCCTTCAGCGCTTCGGCTTCACGTAATCCTCGCCACAGTCCACTCCTCTGCCTACCGGTCACTCACTCTCAGCTCCACCTTTGGACGAGTCCATAGAGCCGAGTGGCCCGTATCCAGAGCTTGTGGGCTGCCTCATGTAACTGATGACTTGCACACGACCTGACCTCGCATACCCTCTCAGCCTTCTGGCTCTCTACGTGGCTCCCGGTAGGCACCGAATGGTGCACTGAGATGCTGCGAAGAGGGTGTTGCGCTACTTGTGCTGTACGTCGGGCATGGGGCTCGTGCTTGGAGGGCGGGCTCGTGTTGTCCTCACTGGTTACGCAGACGCTTCCTGGGTTGACGACTTGGCTACACAGCGGTCGTCACAGGGTTACACCTTCAGTCTTGGCTCCGGTTCTGTCTCTTGGCGGTCTACCCGCTCTTCTTCTGTTCTCAGCTCCAGTTGTGAGGCTGAGATCTACGCTGGGGCCATGGCTGCACAGGAGTTACGCTGGCTCACCTACCTGCTGACCGACTTGGGAGAGGCGCCTCGTTCTCCTCCAGTTCTGTACGTCAACAACAAGGCCATGCTTGCCTTGTGTCAGGAGCACAGACTGGAGCACAGAACGAAGCACATTGCTCTGCGCTACTTCCTTGCTTGAGAGTTGCAGCAGCGTGGTCAGCTTCGTCTTGCTTACGTGGCCTCTCGGGCCAACACTTCTGATGTTTTCACCAAGGCACTTCAGCCTTGTGATCATCAGCGAATCTGTACTGTTCTAGGCCTTGTACCTACTGTGCCTCACTTGCTTACTTCTTGACTCTGCTTGTACTGTACTCTCTATACATATACCTGCATGCTTACACTTGCTAGATTGTGTTTACTGTATTGTTTGTTCTCCTTTATATAACTCTGCATGTGAACTGGCCTTGTGGCCATTTGCTTGTGCTCAGACTGTGTAGTGACTTTGTGATCCACCCTGAGCTTGCTTTGCCTTTCTTGACTGGTCTTGTGACCTCTTGTTCTCCCCCACTTTGCCTATGGGGGTGTGTCAAACTTATATGCTATAGTCTATCTAGTCTGTAGTGGGGTAGTTCATATAGGGTACAACCTGCTTGTACCCACCTGCTTGCTAGTTCAGTCACTCATTCTGTCAATATTCTAACAAAAATAGCCCTTAGGATCTTTCAAGGCTACCGTAAGATCAGTTGAAGTAGGAATGTTGTAATTGCAGAAGCGTAATATGATGACTGCTGAACCACCTTGTACTGGTATGTGAGAACAAGATAAGTTGATAATAGTATGGGAATACAAGGCTTTTATATGATTACAGAGGAATATGAAAAGATTCTATTGTAACTGTTTGTGCTGTTTCGGTTCGATACAGTGACAACTCGGGTAACCGCTCAGTATCGAGTCAGTTATGTGTCCTTGCTGTCGCACTGCATTTTTCTGTCAGGAGAATGGGCAGCAGCAGGGGTGGGGCGCCGTCAGAAGCACGGGGGACAGCGGGCAGCGCAGGGGCAGAGAAAACAGGGCGCCCACGGGCCTGGCGCATCCCGTACGAACCGCGTGCGGGCGGCCCGAGGCGCGCCCTGGCCTGGCGCAGTCCGTACGGGCCGCGCGCGGGCCTGGCGCTGCCCGTACGGGCCGCGCGCGGGCCTGGCGCAGCCCGTACGGGCCGCGCGCGGGCCTGGCGCAGCCCGTACGGGCCGCGCGCAGGCTGTACGGGCCGCGCGCGGGCCCTACGCAGGTCGCGCAGGCCGCGACGGGCGACGGGGGGCGACGCGCGGGTCCCCGTCGCCCGTCGCAGCGCCTCCCGGGAGCGACGCGCGGAGTGACGGGGCAGAAAGCCGCCGCGCGCCTCGGGGCGCACGGCGGGCAGAAAACCGCCGCGCGCCTCGGGGCGCACGGCGGGCAGAAAACCGCCGCACGCTCCGAGCGCGCGGCGGGATGAAAAATCCGTCGCACGCCACGGGGCGTGCAACACACAGAGTAGCAGTAGCAGCGGAAGCAGTGAGGTGGTGGGCCCACCCAAAGGATCGACCCAAGGGGATCGACCTGCTCTGATACCATGTCAGAAGTAGCAGTAGAAAGTAAGAATGAAGAAAGGAGGGGTTTCACTAGCAAGCAGTTGAGTACATATAGGAAACCCTAGATTGGGCTGTACTCGCTATAGAGCACCCCACTGCAGGCTAGACAAATACAACATTCTGACATTTTCGTCAGGTCAAAGGTCAGCGACCTTTGACCTTCGCGTAACCTCTATCGGTTGCCTTTGTTGACTCGCGTGTTGTTTCGCTTGTAGTCTGCTTCGTTTCGTGTCGATGCTTCGATTACTTCAGAAGCGTTAAGTTACTTGTTTCCAACACCCGCTTAGCTAGGTTGACCGCTGTATTATCTCTAGTCATTCATTGTATCATCAGTCCATATTGTCACAGATTCGTTATTCGTTTTCTGCGCAACTCTGGTTTACAACTCATAACATATGTGCAAGGCCCCTTTATTCATTCTTGCGCAGTCTTCATTGTACAACTCATAATATCCTTGAACAATCTGGTAACCATAAAGGCTGGTGGCCTTCGAACGTACGCGCTAAACGTCGACAGGTTTACAGCAGCTCCACATTTTTCTGATGTGCTAAGTGCGTTCAGAATCATCTTGGTCGGAGTCGTGAACACCCCATCGTCTGACATGGCGGGAGACACGGACGCAGACGGATTGGCGCCAACGCTTCAGAATATCCTAGACCAGACGTCTTTAAAGTGGATATTCGTCGGCGGGAAAGGCGGCGTTGGCAAGACGACGTGTAGTAGCTGCTTGGCGGTGCTATTAGCTGCGGTTCGCGAGAAGGTTCTTATAATCTCCACGGACCCCGCACACAATCTTAGCGACGCGTTTCGGCAGAAGTTCACCCGGACGCCGACTCTCGTTAATGGCTTCACGAACCTCTACGCCATGGTACAACCGCGATTCGAGTCGTTCTTGTGTTTTCTAAAAAATCGCTTACAGTCAGCGGCTTCTCGAACCTCTGTGCCATGGTACGGACGCGTAGCGCGCCATAGGACGCCCGGACGAGTAGCGCCTTTGCGCACAATTGGCCGGTTAGCGCCCTTGCGCACAGTTGACCTCCATTCCGCGCAGTTGGCCGCTTAGCGCCATCGCACACACGAGATACACACACAGTGTGTGCATGTGCGTGTGCGAACCAATGACTAAAGCTCATGGTATTGGCATTCCAAGGTGTGCCGAGTGTGCGAGTGCTCTCAATCCTGTCCTATGCCTCAACTGTTTTTACCCTGACCGTTGATCCGTCAACAGGAGGTGGATCCGACGGTCGAGACGGACGATTTCGACCAGATGGCGGGGCAACTGGCGCAGTCAACCGGGCTGGGCGGCGCAGGGGGACCAGCGGGGGGGCTGAGCGGGCTGCTGGCGGGCAGCGGCATGGGGAGCATGTCGGAGCTGGCAGGCGCTATCCCTGGGATTGACGAGGCCATGAGCTTCGGCGAGATGATCAAGTAAGGGGGGGCCCGTGATAGGATCGTTTGGACCGGATCGTACCAGACCAGACCAGACCAGGCCGGACTAGACCTGACCAGACCAGACCGGACCAGACGAGACGAGACTAGACCGGACCGGACCGGACCGGACCGGACCGGACCGGACCGGACCAGACCAGACCAGACCAGACCAGACCAGACCGAACCAGGCCGGACCGGACCGGACCGGACCGGACCGGACCAGACCAGACCAGACCAGACCAGACCAGACCAGACCGGACCAGACCGGACCGGACCAGACCGGACCAGACCAGACCAGACCAGACCGGACCAGACCAGACCAGACCCGATCAGACTGGACCGGACCAGACCTGACCGGACCGGACCAGAGCACAGTTGACAGCTGCAGAGCATTCAACTCGGTCCCAGGGGCCTCGTGTCCTTTGATTGATGGACTGCTGCTGAGTTGGCATCACCCCTTCCTTCTTCCCCTGCCCACTGCCCCATCCCTAAGACTCGTGCAAACCATGGACTACGACTGCACCGTGCTTGACACAACACCCAGGAGCTTTGGATTACTGGATTGGATCAATCAACTCTTCCTCCCTTTGGCCCCGCCCCCCACCCTCCTCTCGTCCCCCAGGCTCGTGCAAACAATGGACTACAGCTGCATCGTGTTTGACACGGCCCCCACGGGGCACACCCTGCGCCTGCTGCAGTTCCCCTCCACTCTCGAGAAGGGGCTCGGCAAGCTCATGGCGCTCAAAAACAAGTTTGGCGGGATGATGGACCAGGTGTGTAGTGCGGTGACGAGGTGTTGAGTGCGGTGATGAGACAATTAGTGCGGTGAGCAGATCTGAGATTCTGTGGCTGCTGCAGTTACGCTCCACTCTTGAGAAGGGGCTGGGCAAGCTCATGGCGCTCAAAAGCAAGTTTGGCAGGATGATGAGGTGTGATGAGGTATTCAGAGCGGTGATGAGGTCTGTGAATCTGTGGGCTGGTGTGGAGTACGATAATGATGTGTTTAGATGTGTGATGTGGCCAGGTGGCTGCTGCAGTTCCCCCCATGCTCAAAAAGGGGCGTGGCAAGCTCATGGCGCATGTATGTGCATGTATGTGCATGCATGTGCATGTATGTGCATGTATGTGCATGTATGTGCATGTATGTGAATGCATGTGCATGTATGTGCATGTATGTGCATGTATGTGAATGCATGTGCATGTATGTGCATGTATGTGCATGTACGTGAATGCATGTGCATGTATGTGCATTTATGTGCACACAGATGCATCCCTATCCCCAGGTGTTGCGGATGATGGGAGGGGTGGGCGAGCAGCTAGGGGAGGGCGGAATAACGCCCTCCCTATCTCACTCTCTCACTCGTCTTTGTACCATGCTTGCTGCTTGCATGTATCTGTTTGTATGCGCATGCGTGCGCTTGTATGTGCGTTTCCCCGTTTTCTCCCTCCAGGTGGCGCGCATGGTGGCTGTGGGCGAGGAGCCAGGGGAGGATGTGGTGACATTCCTGTGGTCTCATCTTGGTATCACACTCTCTGCATGCATGAATGTGCATGCATGAATGTGCATCCATGTATGTGCATGCACGAATGTGCGCATGCATCCCTCGCCCCAGCTGACACGGATGATGGGGGTGGGCGAGGAGCTAGGGGAGGACGTGGTGACGTCAAAGCTGGAGAGCATGAAGAGCGTGGTGGAGAAGGTCAACATGCAGTTCAAAGACCCTGTGAGTCAACGCCAGTCAACGCCAGTCAACGCAGGTCAACATGTACCATGTGAGTCAATGCAAGTCAACACGCTGGCAAACATGCAGTTCCAAGCCCCTGCGTGTGAACACGATTCAATGCAAGTCAGCATGCAGCAAGACCCTGTGAAACAACACTGGTAAATGCAACTCAAATCTTTCTTCCCCTGCTCTTCCTTCTCATCCTCCTCTTCCTGCTTTTCCTTCTCATCCTCCTCTTCCTGCTTTTCCTTCTCGTCCTCCTCTTCCTGCTTTTCCTTCTCGTCTTCCTCTTCCTATTCTCCCCCCCTGGTCTGCAGCCATATCCACGTTCATGTCCATGTGTGTGTATCCAGACGAGTTTCAAATGTCTCTCTCCCTGTGTCCCCGTCCCACCAGGACATGACCACGATCGTGTGTGTGTGTGCATCCCCAGGCTCCTCTCTCTCTAAGCGACAGCGTGCTTGGTCTGTGCGCTTGCTGCTAGCTGGTCTGAGTTTCTAGCCATCTCCCTTCCCCTGTGCCTGTGCGCCACCAGGACATGACCACGTTCGTGTGTGTGTGCATCCCCGAGTTCCTCTCTCTCTACGAGACAGAGCGCCTGGTTCAGGAGCTCGCTCGCTTTGAGATAGACACGCACAACATTGTCATCAACCAAGTGCTCTTCCCGGAGGAAGGTGAGCTGCGCTGCACCTTCACAAGGGAAGGTCTGAGTTGATACAGTAGTCATCAGGTAACCTAGGCGGCAGCACGGTTTGAGATGGGCACTCACGGCATCGTGATCAACGAAGTGCTGGTCCAGGAGGAAGGTGAGATCACTTGCACCTCTTTTGTCAGACTGCAGCAAGAGCGGTTCAGAGCGTTTCGAGATGATGAGCGGTTCGAGCGGTTCAGCTGGGGAGTCAAAGCTGCTAGCAGCGCAGGTGATGATGCAGCAGAAGTACTTGGATCAATTCCACGAGCTGTATGAGGCATCAACTCATGTTTATCAGATTTCCCTCATCATTTCCCTCTTTTCCTCCCCATTTTCTCTTTGTGCCATCAGTTGGGGAGTCATATGAGCAGGCGGATGAAGCGGCCAATTCAGCGAGCTGTGTGGAGAGCCACTCTAAGACCGATTTCCCCTGTCCCCCCCCATTGTTCTCTTTCTCCCACACAGCCGGGGAGTCGAAGCTGCTAGCAGCGCGGGTGAAGATGCAGCAGAAGTACTTGGATCAATTCAACGAGCTGTATGAGGATTTCAACATCACGCGCTTACCATTGCTGGAGGAGGAGGTGGGGGGGGTGGGGGCATGTTTTCGTCCGTGCATCGTTTGAAAACCCCACAGATTGTACAACCTATGGTGCATGCGATGCTTGAGATGTCTCACAACGCACTCATCGTCCACCCCATGCTGCATGCGCCAGCTGCAAGGAGTGGCCTCCCTAGGATCCCACTGCAAGCACCTCCTCACGTTTTGAGACGTCTCAAAAGTTGTGAGACATCTCAGAACAGAATTCTGAGACGTGTGAAGTGAAAGCTGCGAGGAGTGGACTCCCTTGAATTCCTCTGCACGCAGCACCTCCTCACGCCATGCACCTCCTACCTAAGCGCATACCTTTCAACCTTTCCGTATTCCTCACCACACCTTACCTCACCTCATCTCACCTCACCTCACCTCACCTCACCTCACCTCACCTCACCTCACCTCACCTCACCTCATCCCCACCAGGTGCGAGGAGTGGACGCCCTCAAATCTTTCGGGAAACACCTCATCACACCTTACGTTCCCCGGCCAGTGCCACCTGTCGCAACACGATTGGTGGAGCTGGAGCAAGAGGTGAAGGAGCTTCGACAGAAGCTAGAGGAGACACAGAAGGAGCTCGCCAAGTATAAGACCTCGTGACTTCAAACCTAAAGAACAGCCGGGGGTTTTAATCAAAAAGGGGACTATAAAATTCAGGATTATCGCTTTGTACAGATGGATCATGGAGCTCGGCCAGTATAAGACCTCGTAACTGAAAGAAGAAAAGAAAAACTCGGTGTTCGTGCCAAGCAGGGCCCTAGATATCAGACTTTGGAGTCTGATTCAGAGTCCGTTCAGACTTTTTTTTTGTACCTAGTCTGAACTCAAAGAATTTTTTTATGCACCCTGTCTGATTTTTCAGAGTTTTTTTAACTGACTTGTCTGAAATTTCAGAGTAGTCACAGCAGTGTAGGCTGAGCCTCAAACTTGTATCGGGGGTCCACTCTGAAACCGGTTATACAGGGGTTTCCGCCGACTGAATGAAAGGTTATCGGAACGAAACTTCCTCGAAACTTTTTTTCGATACACCCACGTGTGTACGGGCCAGCACTAACGATTTCCTCCGGATAAAACTGCTCGAGTAGGGGTACCAGGATACACTATTTGTCGACGCTATCTCGAGTGTCGAATTCATTGGGGGCTTATAATAACACTTAAATTGTGAAACTAGATAGCCAATCGCACATGGCCAAAACGATTTTAGCGAATCGCACATGGCGAAAAGCGAATTGGTTCAACCGAAAGCCGTGTCACATATGAGTCTCGTACTTCAGCAGAACCGCACATCATTTCCCCTTCCCAAACCGAGTCAAAATTTTGAATCTGCAACTTTAGGAGAGAATATTCCGCGCACATAGGGTGTACACAGTTGAAAACTCTTGCTGCAGCCAGCGCGCCCAGCACAGAAAAGTTCCGAGCGATACCGTGCCTGCTGCCGGGTCAGCTGATTGGGAGCTTGCCACACTTGGCACTTGCACGAGGCCATTGTCTGATGCCCACACCTCGACTCGACCCTGACTGCTCAGTGATCCTAACTCTTGACAAATGACCAATCAGAGTGCCCCATTTCTGGCCGCACAATTGCGTTGGTATGCTGTAATCAGTTTCAATGCTATTATAGCTATGCTGTTATGAAACTGCATGAACATCTTAAAATTTGAAGTAACTCTGACAGTTCAGACAAAAGAAGTTGTGCTTGTCTGAATTTTCAGACTAAAAAAAATAGGTAACTCTGACAGCCAGACTAGGAAGAGGGGTGTACTCTGAGGCGTCAGACTACCTCAAAACGAATCTAGGGGCCTGGTGCCAAGTACAAGGGCTCATGAGCTGATGGTGAGATGAGCTGATGGTGATATGAGCTGATGGTGATATGAGCTGATGGTAATATGAGCTAATGGTAAAACCGTAAGCCCCCGGATAGAAGCGCAGGCCTCGGATAAGCGCCGGCATTTATAAAAGGATGACGGCGCTTATATTCGGTCCTCGATTATAAGCCCACCCCCTAAAAAAAAGATGATTTATTATAAGCGCATGTTGGACCTTCATTTGAAAACCTTACGAAATACAGAAAAAAAAATTCACATTATCAGGGAAACGAACTACAAACTCGACTTCCCACACTCTGATCTCACCTTTTGCGCGTCTAGTCAGCATGTGCTGTCATTCTTGTTGGGCTGAGAAAAACCCTTAGGATCTTTTTCAAGGCTAAGACCTTTGAGTAGGAATGTTGTAGTTGCGGAAGCGTAATAATAATGTTTACTGAACAACCTTGCACTAGTATGTGAGAGCAAGATAGATTGATTAAAGCAAAGAGATACAAGAATATATATGATTACAAGGAATACGAAGAGATGAGACTTTGCTATTGCGGTTCGATACAGTGACGACTCGGGTAACTGCTCAGTATCGAGTCAGTTATTTGTCCTTGCTGTCGCGCTGTATTTTTCGTCGAGTCAAAGGTCAGCGACCTTTGACCTTCGCGTAACCTCCAGCTGTTACGTTTGTTGACTCGCGTGTTGTTGTCAAACTTATGTGCTATAGTCTGTTTAGGCTGTAGTGGGGTAGTTCGTATAGGATACAACACTTTTAGGTTTTCATACTTGTACCCACCTGCTGCCTAGTTCATTCATCCCTTCTGTTCATTCTGACATGGTATTCTCAGCAAGTTCCCCTGTGGGAACGTTTTTTTTTTTAGGGCCCACCGAATAGTAACAACTTTTTTTTTCCTGCCCTGACCGCAGCGCGCTTCGCGCCTGACCCTTACTGCCGTCGCGGCCCCTTACTGCCATCGCGGCCCCTAGTGCCTACGCGGCCCCTGCGACCGACGCGGCCCCTAGTACCTACGCGGCCCCTAGTCCCTACGCGGCCCCTAGTGCCTACGCGGCCCCTAGTGTCTACGCGGCCGACGCGGCCCCTAGTGCCTACGCGGCCGACGCGGCCCATTACTGCCGTCGCGGCCCCTAGTGCCGTCGCAGCCCCTAGTGCCGACTCGGCCCCTAGTGCCGCCGCGGCCCCTTCTTGCCGTTGCGGCCCCTCAGGCCGACGCGGCCCCTGTTGCCTACGTGGCCCTGCGGTCGTCGCGGCCCCTACTGCCAACGCGGCTCCTGCCGCTGTTGCGGCCCCTGCTGCTGTTGCGGCCCCTGCTGCCGTCGTGGCCCCTGCTGCTGTCGCGGCCCTGTCTGCCACTGCGGCCCCTGCTGCCGTCACGGCCCCTGCTGCTGTCGCGGCCTCTGCTGTCGCGGCCCCTGCCGTCCCAGCCCCTACTGTCGCGGCCTCTGCAGCTGCGGCTCCCCCTTGCTGTCGCGGCCCCTCTGCTGAAGCGGCCCCTCTACTGCAGCGCCCCCCCCTGCTGTCGCGGCCCATCTGCTGAAACGGCCCCTCTGCTGAAGCGGCCCCTCTGCTGCAGCGGCCCCTCTGCTGTCGCGGCCCCTCTGCTGACGCGGCCCCTACGGTCGCGCACCTGGTAAGCCCCGCGCCCAACCCCCCCCTGCCGCGCCGCGCCGCCCAGCCGAGCCGCGCCGCCCGGCCGAGCCGCGCCGCCCAGCCGAGCCGCGCCGCCCACCGAGCCGCGCCGCTCTGTCTAGCCGCGCCACCCAGCCGAGCCACGCCGCGCCCACCGAGCCGGGCTGCCCTGCCGAGCCGAGCCGCGCTGCCCCCCCCCTTTTGCCTGCTCTGCTTTTGCTGCCACTGGTGCTTCTACTGCTACTGCTGCTACTGCTACTATGGCTAGCCCTACTGTTCTCACGTTTGATGCTGAGGGGCGTGCAGTTGACTTTGATGTGTGGGTTGACGACCTACAGCTCTTTCTTCAGTGTGACTCTAGGGATGGGGTCTCCCTTTTCGATCACACGTCCGGTGTCTCTACTGCACCTGCTTCCACTGCTGACACCACGGTTCGCTCGCAGTGGACCACTCGTGATGCTGTTGCTCGCCTTGCTGTTCGTAGTCACCTCCCGCCTGCTAAGCGCGCGCACTTTGGCCAGTACAGGACTGCTCAGTCTTTGTACGACGCTGTCGTTGCGCGCTACTCCTCCCCTGCCACTGCTGCCCTCAGCCGCCTCATGCTGCCGTACCTTTTCCCTGACCTTGCCGCCTTTGCCACAGTCGCTGACCTCGTTACTCACCTCCGCACTAGTGACGCCCGCTACCGCGCTGCCCTTCCCACTGAGTTCTGTGCCAAGAACCCCCCCCCCCCCCCATGTACATCACCCTTTACTACCTAGTCACCCGCCTCCCTGACTCCCTTGCTTCAGTCAGGGACCACTTTCTCTCCCTTTGCCCCACTGAGCTGACTGTCGACCTGCTAGAGGAGCGCCTTGCTGCAGCTGAGAAGAGTATCTTAGCTGTTGGTGCTTCTCGCGGCGACCGTCGCACCCCTTTCTTTGAGGGGTGTTCCCCTGTCCCCCTTCTCCCCTCTGTTGCTTCTGCTGCTGCTGTCGACCTCGTTGGCATTGAGGAGGTCGGAGCTGCGTCTGCCCCTCGTGGGAGGCGCCGCAACAGCAAGGGCAAGGGGAGCAAGGGTGGTGGAGGGGGCGGCGGGGGTGGCGGTGGAGGCGGTGGAGGAGGCGGAGGGGGTGGCGGTTGAGGTGGGGGTGGTACCGGGAGTGGGGGCTTCAGTGGCGGCGGTGGAGGTGGTGGAGGCAGCGGCAGCGGTGGTGGAGGCAGCGGCAGCGGTGGTGGAGGTGGCGGCGGCAGTGGTGCTGGTCGAGGTGCAGCCGCGCAACGTGGAGGCTTTGGTGGCAGCCAGCGCCAGCAGCAGCCGCGTTCCCGTGAGACCCCGTCGGCCCAGTAGCTTCGTGAGTGGTACGCTGGGCGTGGGAGGTCTGGGGGTGCTGGTCCCTGCACCTACGTTCTTCGCACCGGCAGTCGTCGTGGGGAGGCGTGTGGGCTGCCACACACTACGCAGCGCTGCTTCGGTCGCTTGACTGATGCCTGGCGTGCTCAGTTTCCTGACGCTGTTGAGCTCCCTCGCTGGCATGATCTGCTTATGCAGAATGTGCCTATCTTTCATCTTGATTTCGATGCTATCCTTGCTGCCATGTATGCTTTGACTGATAGTGCTGAGGGTGACTGTTACCTGAGTGTCCCGCCCGACCCTGGCATTGCGGCTGCTGCTCTAGGTGCTAGTGCGTCTGCTGCTCCAGGTGCTGGTGAGTCTGCTCTCTCTGGTACTACACCTACTGAGGCCTTGCACACTTTCACACTTGACTCTGGTGCTTCGCGCTCTTTCTTTAGAGACATCACCACACTCACGCCGCTCAGTCGGCCTGTCGCAGTCTCCCTTGCTGACCCCTCTGGGGGCCCAGTCCTTGCGCACTCTTCCACGGTTCTACCATGTCCTGCGGCCCCGTCGGGCTTCCTGTCGGGACTGCACCTCCCCTCGTTCTCTACGAACTTGGTGAGTGGAGCTGACCTCCAGGATGCGTGGGTTGACCAGTTCGCCCCTGGAGGTCAGCGTGTGACCCACTGCACTTGCTCTCGGACGGGCCGCCACCTGGCCACGTTCACCCGTCGGCCTGGGTCGAGTCTCTACACACTGACTACTGCGCCTCCTGCGGTCTCTGCGTCTGGTCAGGTAGCCGCGTCTAGTCAGGTGTTTG